TTTTATAAGACAACTTTTGGCCCAGTGTTTTGGATATCAAATCGCCCCGAAGATCGCTTCGAGATCTTGTAACAGCAATGGCAATGGAGTCTATTCGTCTTTGGTTGGCTTTGACCCCCAAGCAGATTGAGGACCTGAACAACGGGAAGGAAATCCAGCCTGATGAGTACTCCAAGCGCTTTGGGTTGCGCAAGGATCCAATCGCAGCCGTGGAACGGGCACAGTACTTCAATGATTGGACACCTGAGGGACCCAAAGGTGAGTTTTGTGCCAAGGACTATGTACTGGTTGAGGTCGAATTCTGCAATCGGCTATCTCCAGAAGGCCGAGGCAGGCATCCTTCTGAAGTATAAGCCCAACGAATATCGTTGGCAAGGCACTATGAAGGCTTTGGAATTCGACGAGAATGGCAACCTCCTCTATAAATTCGGATCAGAAGCCATGAAAATTGTTTAAAGGGGCATGTACCATAGATTGCCGCGTCTGGATCTTTGACGCACTATGAGCTGGGTTGTAATACTAAGCTCTATCGAGAGTGACCGGCAGTCGCAGTGAAAGATACGAAATGCTGTGCAGAGGTTGTCAAGTTGAGATTGGAGTGGATTTGTAGTTTTGAGAAGTCTCGGATTTTGGCTGAAACATCCATTGTCAGTTGAGGAAGTTTCAGAGTTTTGGACGATTTCGGACATGGACAGAATTTGGACTTGTGTGACCGAGTTTGAGCAGTTTTGGATGCCAGGTGTCATAAGTTTTGCACTGGTTTTCATTTTTTACTGCATGACATGTCTATGGGTTTTGTGCGCAGAAACATAACCGTGAATGAGAATCCAGAGTCATATCATATCCTCTCCAATCATCAGTAGCTTCGTTGGCCACGGACTGATGAATGGAGCTGTGGCCATCAGAGCTGAGAGCCCTGCCCCCTGCTATGATTGAGATCTGATGAACGAGCCCATGGCATAACTGCATGTGTCTAGCAGTTTACACACACACACAGAGAATCCCACTAAGGGGCAGTTTGTCTTTCGGATTCCCAATAACGTGTTACTTGTAGGGTGTCAGGTGTATTGTGAGCATGTTAGTATGCAAACGATAAAGTGCATCGGACATTTTAAGTCTTTTTCCACGAAATGCAAAAGTACGTCACGTTTCAAATGAGGAAACCGCTGGCGACAGATGGAAATGAACTCTGGAAGGCACTACAAATATGTCGGATCGCGCGTCGTGTGCAAAGCAAGAAGGTCTTGTAGTTGCGCTATGCAAACATAATCCGGGTATGAATGTCGTACCACCAATCTCGCCTTGGCCAGTAAGCCTGCAAACTGCAAACATGTTCACAAGTGGCCCGGCTGTGTGTGAAGTTCTGATGGTAGAATTCCAAGGGAGTTGGGCAGAGACTGTTAGTTGAAAATGGTTTAGATTGAACCCAAGTGCATCAAAGTCTGGCACGTCTTCAAGTAAAATAGGTTCCATGTAGAAATCTAATCGCCAAAATTGTTTTGACGCGAAAGTATTTCCTCTATTTGCAACGTCGACCCAGAGACAATTGTCTACATAACGAAAACTTGCTGCCAACTTACCTGAGAACACTGCTGACCTAAATGCCAAACTATATGTGTGTTCACGATGTAAAGCAACAATCGCGCACATGACCGATGCCCATTGGGATCTCATGGATGCGCCCTGTGTCTGTTCATAAGTGTCATATCCAATTCTGAAAAAATTGCGGTGAGTGGAACCAGCCCCCGGACCCGTGTCGATATTGGTCACGTCTATGGCGCCGACATGCTGATCGAGACTGTGAATCCATTGGATGTGTCTAAGGCCCTAACTGAGAAGCAGCAGCAGCAGCAGCAGCAGCAGCAGCAGCAGCAGCAGTAGTAGTAGTAGTAGTAGTAGTAGTAGCAGGAGTAGTAGTAGCAGGAGTAGTAGTAGCAGGAGTAGTAGTAGTAGTAGTAGTAGTAGTAGTAGTAGTAGTGGTAGTAGTAGTAGTAGTAGTAGTAGTAGTGGTAGTAGTAGTAGTAGTAGTAGGAGTAGGAGTAGGAGTAGGAGTAGGAGTAGTAGTAGTCGTCGTCGTAGTAGTAGTAGTAGTGGTAGTAGTAGTAGTAGTAATAGTAGTAGTGTTGTAGTAGTAGTAGTAGTAGTAGTAGTAGAAGTAGCAGTAGCAGTAGTAGCAGTAGCAGTAGCAGTAGCAGTAGCAGTAGTAGCAGTACCAGAAGTAGTACTACTGCGGAAGTAGTACTGGGAAGTGCTTTGTGCAGGCTTTGTACTGCAAAGCAGTTCTGGGAGGTACTTTGCGCAAGTCTTGTAGTACAAAGTAGTTCTGGGAGGTACTTTGCGGAAACTGTGTAGTACAAAGTAAATCTCGGAAATACTTTGTGCAAGTCTTGTGATACAAAGTAGTACCGGGAAGTGCTTCGTGCAATCTTTGCAGCAAAAAGTCGTACTGGAAAGTGCCCTGCTCGAACTTCGCAGTGTAAAATCCCGAAGTATACAAGGAGGTACTGTGTGCAAACTTGGAAGTACAAAGTAATATATACTGGGAAGTACTTTGTGCAAATTTTGCAGTGCAAAGTAACACTGGGAAGTGCTTTGTCAAGCTTTGTGGTACAAAGTATTATTGGGAGGTACTTTGTTGTGGAATGTGCAATAAAGAGCGTGAAATGCAGAAGGAGTGTGGAGTGTGAAGTCTGGGGTGTAGACTGTGGAGTGGAGAGTGTGAAGTGGACAGTGTGGTGCGTGAAGTGGACAGTGTGGAGTGTGGAGTGTGGAGTGTGGAGCGTGGAGTGTAGAGTGTAGAGTGTAGAGTGTAGAATGTAGAGTGTAGAGTGTAGAGTGCAGAGTGTAGAGTGCAGAGTGTAGAGTGTAGAGTGTAGAGTGTAGAGTATGGAGTGTGAAGTGGAGTGTGGAGTGTGAAGTGTGGAGTGTAGAGTGCAGAGTGCAGAGTGTCAAGTGCAAAGTGTGGAGTGCGAAGTCTGGAGTGTAAAGTGTAGAGTGTGGAGATAGGAGTGTGGAGCGGAGAGTGTGGAGTGTAGAGTGCGAAGCGAGGAGTGTAGAGTGGAGAGTGTGGAGTGTGGAGAGTGTGGAGTTTAGAGAGTATATAGAGAGTGGAGAGTGCCGAGAGGGCCGAGAGTGTCGAGAGTGTGTCAAGTGTCGAGTGTAGAGTGTGGAGTGCGGAGTGTGGAGTCTAGAGTGTAGAGGGTAGTGTGCAGTTTGGCGTGGCGAGTGGAGGCTGTGGGGTGTGGAGTGTAAGGTGTGGAGTGTCGAGTGGAAAATTTTCCGAACGAAGCGTAAAGTGCAAAGTGCGGAGTGTGTAGTGTGAAGAGTGTGTCATAATATGAGGAGTGAAGAGCGTCTAAGTCTAAGGTGGAGTGTGGAACGTGAAGTGTAGAGTGCGAAGTCTAGAGTGTAGAACATGTCCTGTTGCGTATGAAGTGTGCAACGTAGAGTGTTAGAGCCTTGTTGCCACAACATGTGTTTGATTGGGTGGTTTCGTGTTGAAGATTGTCCAGTGTAACGTGGAGTGTAGAATGCAGAGTGCAGAGTGAGTAGCGCAAAGTAACTAGTGTTTTCAGTGTTTGTTTTTTGTGGTTGCTTATTTAGTGCGTTTATTTATATAACAAATGCGTTCGGATTCGTGGATTCTATCATGTTCTTTTTTTGCGTGTGAAGGATTTGGTGTGGCGCATCCATTCCAATGATCAAGTTGGTTTCGAACCGGAAAAAATTGTTTCTGCAATGAGGCTTGAATTTAGCACCATTAATAATTTAAAATTTGGATGATTCATGTTGCAGCAAAGTGTGAGAATGCTTTTGAATTTTCGTCCATGTTCCCGGAACAGACTGGACTTACATGCACTGTCTGCAGTTTTTTCGAACGGTTCGGTTGCGACATGATTTTGTTGTGTTTGTGTATGTTTTGTCGAGCGGTCAAAACGTGCACAACCCGAATTCCCAATGTCTTTGAAACATTATGGTCAAAAAACATGCGTGGACTATGGAAATCTGCATCAATATTTTTTGATTTGCCGCATCAAAAAAAAAATGCAATATCCAGAGCCAGAATTTATTGTGAATAAAACGTGACATATTTTGGGGAGATGATCGTGCAAGGCTTTGGATATATTTGTTCTTGTTGACAAATTCACATGTTTTGTTACGAACGCACCAAATATTAGAAAACGGACATCAGTGGCATTGCTAAACGAGTATCCATGTTCTTCTATTTGCAGCTATTGCGGTTCTTGGACATGCAATGAAACACGTATTCTCTTGGATTTGTGTCGAACTGTATTCATTCATTGATTTGTTGACAAATTTGCGCATTGATTCATTGATTCATAGATTCATTATCGTATGATCAAATTTTTGTGTTCAAGACGTGGTGCTGTTATTCGCAATGAACAGGGATTCAAAACACCCAAAAACCCCACACGAAAACATGTTTCCGGTACATGGCTGAAGCATTGCGGCGGACTTAGATGCGATTCTCGAGTTTTGTTCCGTGAAACAATCTCAAAATTCTGGCAACACAGTTGGACGACCGGTCTATCAAATCATGTTTTGTAGGAACGTGCCCTTGCTTGGTCAATTCAGTTGCCATAATATATATATAATTATATATATATATAACTTTTCTGCTCTACTATGCAATTGTTTTTTCTTGACTTGACTTCGTGGCTCACGCCTTCACAAAGTCTTTGAGAGCCAAGGGAGACTGGTTTCCCAGTCAAGAAAAAAGGCTCGCATCAAAACAAAAAAAAAAATGTGACCACGTTATTGCGATACATTTCGAACCTATCATTTTTTGTACATGTATAAAAATGTTGCAGATTTCATTTTTTTACGATTGCAAACGTTGACAGATACCAAACGATTATTTTCTTGCCTCTCAAAAAATATTGATATCTCTAATCGTCAATGCCTAGAACTAGACACATTGACAGCTGCATTGTTACACCGCTGGTGCATTTTTTCGTTGAACAAAATTCCTTGCTTGCATGATGGTTGTGGATGAGCGCTTCTCTGCAAAAGGACCAAAATTAGTTGTGACACAGTCAGATCTGGGAACTGGGTGCTGCATTTTCTGAGGGTTAGTCACAATTAGTCAAAACCAGTTGGGCATTGCCAAAACCCACAGTTTGTACGACAGAACCTACTCAGAACTTACAGGTCTTGCGGTTGCACCTGTTCAAAACAAGGGCCAATAATGTTTCTTTTAGTGAATTGAGGGGTTTTCCCAATTGCTGCCAAATTGAGGGACATCTGAAGATGCTTGCGCTACCCACGAAAATGTTCCACAATAGGTCAACTTCCAAGTGTTGCCATGATTTTCGTTTTTTCCAATCCAGTCAATACGAAGGAGCTATAAAAGATGCAGAGGGCTCACTGCAACTGGGCGACTACAAAGATTTGATCTGCATCGTCCAGGATGAGGCCGGAAGGGCTTGCAGCCAAAAAACATGCAACAATTACACAGTAGATGTGATTGACCAAGGCGTTTGAGGACGTTTAACATGGATCTCAGCAAGGGTAGTTGATGGAATGGGTTTGTGTGTGCCTGCCTGCGGTCGGGGAATGTTCTTGCATGCTTGGTTGGTTGGATGCTGGCTGCCTCAGCAAAGAACAGGAACCTATTGACACAATTTGACGCAATCAACACTAGACTTTGAAACTACAATGCCTGCGTTTTCATTGACGTATGCCAAGGGTTGAAGACAGGACAAAGATCGAGGTCAAAACTTTAATCCTCAGACCGTCTGCGGTTTGCGCATGAGAAAAATAAGTGGCCACCTTCAGCAACACTTGTGGATACTTGTGGTATGTTGTTGCTCATTGATATGGTGTTTATTATAATTGGCATATGACTTTATGACCCGTCACAAAATGTTATGTGTTCTCAATTTTCTTTCACAGGTAACCCAAGATGTTCGGCATTTAAAAGTATCATAATCATACATTTGAGATGATTTGTAATTTAAGTCTTTTGTTTCCCATTTGCCCAACAGCAGTCCCTGTTGGGTTTCAATCTCTGGTTTTTTCGTCGACCCTGAAACCCTGGAACCCTGGAATGTTGGGTTGCAAAACTGGATTATTTGCAACTAAGCACGCGAAGTGCAGGCTGAACTAGCAGAGGGTCGGGAAGGCCTTCTCGCAGCCGATCAAATCCCCATTGGAGTTCGGCGATGGAAGGATCCAAAAGGCTGGGAACAAACCAGGTAACCAGAGACCTCGGAGACACTGATGGAATGATGGAAGTTTCTATGAAAGGCTGAAGTCAGGGATTTGCAAGAATTTGCAAGGCCTGTTTGCGTCCACCTCTCTGGGAAAGATGCGTTTCTGTGAGGCTCAGGCTGGGTTACGGCCCATCCCAGTGGTAAGCGGACTCGCTGGTTCAATTCTGCAATTTGGAAAAGCGGCTTGGCATCAAAGTACTGATGGCCGCACTGAGATTGACAAAGATCAACGTCTGCCAGTTAGGCTATATTTTGTAAGCTGCAAGTTTTGGCCGTAGCTTCGTAGGGCTCTGCTCATTTGCATCAGATGATTACATCACCCGCAGTCTCCACAAAACCCTGGCGGTCCGCAGTGCCCGCAGGCTGGCGCATGGCTTTCTTGTTAGCAAAGCTTCAGCGTGAACTCTGGGAGGCCAGGGTGCTACGGGAGTTTCCTGTAAAAGGTCGAGTCGGCAGACCCAATGCAAGGCCTCGTCCGTAGCTGTAGCAGAAACGAGTGCAGAGAGGAACCAACGCGCACTGCCGTCAGCACTTCACAGGCACATGAAGCACTGCCTAGAGAAGCAGGGGCTGACCAGAAGCCAGAGCAGAAGGATTCGGGCTTTTTCAAAAGCGCAGCAGTGGATTCTTAGTCAATTTTTGGTTTCCAAAGTACTGACATTTTTGGAACCGCGCCCCACCTTTTTACGTGCTTGGGGCCGAAAATGGTGGAGTTTTGAGTGCTGATGGGAATATATATATATATAATTGCTTGTTGAGTTTTTGACAGACAGGTGTGATGTCAAGTTTTGGACATGGGCAAGACAGAAGGACAGTGCAAGTGTAGGCCTTGCTTTGCTGCATAGGTGCACCCTGCAAATAACTTGCTGTTTTGGTGCTGGTATGAAATGTTCTGACCTTGCCGTTGCAGGAGACACCTTCACGCATCTTGTATGCGGTTTTATGATTTTGTTGCCTCGGGAAGAACGTGCCCCTTCATCTATTCAAGTGGACCCATTCATTGCAGCTGCAGCATTCGAGTTTTTGTGATGGGCTTGCGCTTCAGGCTTTTGAGATGGAACCGTTTGAACAATGGGTTCATTGTGTGGCAGTAACTCCTATTCTGGTGTGCAGCAGACCAGAACAGAACCTGGAGAGTTTCTAAGAGTCAACAAATGGAGATTGTGGACCTAAGGCAAAAGAGGCCGGCCACCAGCAGACAAAGGTCCGGCCAAAGACAAGAAAGCTGCACCAAAGCAACGAGAAGACGCTCAGGGAAGAGGCTCCAACTTGGAAAGTGATAGCACCTGAAACACGTAGATGATCGTAGATGTCTTGACATTGGTACATTCTCTCTCTCTCTCTCTCTTTTTGAGTCACCAGTCCAAAGTCCAAACCACAATGACAACTTACTGCAGCTAGCCAAATTACCTTCCGTCTTGACTAAGACTTGCTTTGGACCCGTGTCCTTGAAAATCTCATTCCCTTCTGACTGGACGATCCGACCATCTCTGAATCTTTGACCATAGCCATCTCTGACCTACACCTGATTTTCCTGATCTCGTCAGTGGCTCAGCCTGAGGTCGTGGAGCAGCTCGACCTCGAGGTCGAGGTCCTGGCCGAGGTCCCGGCCCAGGTCGACCTCGAGGTCCAGCCAAGGGGCGAGGTGCCCGACCCACGCGACCCACGCGACCCACGGGCAGAGGATTGAAACGTCCCAGTACCGCAGCCACGGCGGCGACGCCGGCAGCGGCCACGTGGCTGCAGAAGGTCCCGAAGTCAAACTCAGAGTGCCCCGTCATTCTAAGTCACTCCATCATTTAGTAGACCAAAATAGTATATAAGCAAAGAGAAAATTATCACATTTTATACATCAGGATCTGGTCCTCTAGCTGCCTTTCTTTGTTTCTTCTGCAAGTCGTAGTTGGCAGTCTTTAATCGATGTGCTCTTTGAGCCGAGACTCAAATAACCTCTGTGAATCACAATGAAATCGACACAAAGAATCGAGACAAAGAGTCGACGTCCGGGCTGTAGCCTCTCAGTTGTTGAGCAGAGGCAGCCAGTGAAAGCTCAGCTGCACCAATGGAAGCACCGAAAGTGCGGCTGCGTTTGCAAAGATTCCGGGGACCAGAACCTTTGCTAGGCTCGGGACGTAGGGAGCTGAAAGATGCTGGATCCCTGGAGTGGCTGCAGTATGCTGCAGTATGTTGCAGTCCCAAGGTGGCCGACATCGTGGCTTGGCGCTCTTCAACCTTCGCAGCGAGAAGGGCCGAGAAGCATTGGTAGGTTTCTGATGGGAGGAGCAGGGAGTCTAAGTGCCAGTGCTGACACAAAGGTAACCAGAATGAAATATGGAAGTAGGATGAAGCCTGACGGCAACCAGAATTGAACCTGTGGAAATCTGATTGATGAGCATGCACGCATTCACTTCACTTCACTTGCAGCGGTCACATGCGTCCATGCTAGCTGAGTCAAGGCCACATTTAGTGTAGCCCAACCTATCCAAGAGAGTCCTGAACAGTGCTCACTGCGCTCCCTTAGCACTATGCAAAGAGGGCACAGGCCCGACTGCAGCACAGCCGATCCCCACCAAAAGATAAAAATCACACGCAAATCACAAGTGAACGGGACCAAACTGGCTACACGAGCGTCAGGACCAAACTCAAAATCATTTCAACATATCAGAAAGTTGGTGAAGAAAAGTCTGCGCATCACGCTCCAGACCACCCTTCGGCGCATGGCCGTGGAGCGTCTTACCACCACAGTTCTAGACATGACATTCAACAATCTACAAAACTGGCTTCACTGACTCACTGGCAGCAACGCGCATCTTCATCTTGGACTGGTGAAAGCACTTCTTCACTCACTCTGCAGACATGCGCACTGCAGGCCACAGTAGCAAGACTGCTGCAGCAGTCATTCACATGCTGTTAAAGGATCTCCTTTTCTGGTTCAGTAGCTTGTGCGTTCAAGGCTTCCAACAAGGCGATCCATGCATGGCAGTGTGGCTGACCGTCTGGTGGTTTCCCGTTAGAAGACTTGGCTTTCTCGGCCTCCTCATTCAAGCTTCGTGTTGCCGTGAGCAAACTACTGACTATTGACCAAGACATCGTCTTTGGGCAACTGCGCAGTCACCAGGCTTCCACCCCGAAGTTCAGGAACATCCATGGCATTCTTCAAGACGAATTTTGTGAGGACCTGGATGCCCTTCATGAGAAACTTCTCGCTGCCTGCCGCCTGGTACTTGGAGGATTTTCCATCATCTGCCCCTGTGCGCGCCCAAGGCATCAACGCCATCTGGACAAAAATGGGCTGTCTACTCTTGCACTTCAGGCCTCTGCAAAAACAACATGCGAAGCGACATGATCAAGCAATTGGTGCACATCATCAAAACAAGCATTGTAACTACGACGCCGCCACCCAGACCTTGCCGCGGAGACGCAGAGCCATAGCATGTCGTGCGGACTGGGCGGCCTGATGTGGGGTCATGTTTCTGTTTGAGGAACTTAGAGAGGAAAACTTAGACATCAGAAACTGGCCTGAGCGTTTGGGCGTGAGCCGAGTGCTGGCCCTGGCTTGGCCTCAGACGTCTGAGCAGCTGCAAAATTCCCATTTAGTCGCTGAATCAGATCATATGGAGGCACATCAAGCCAAAACAAGAGGAGCAGACCACTCATGGGATCCATAAATTTGGGATCAACAAGAGTGGAAATCTGATTGATGAGCATGCACGCATTGATCCCAAACATAGCACAGAACAATCAACTTGTTGCACGCCCACGGCTGGAACTGGAGGCCCTTGTGTAACGCACGAACTGCTGGATGACGCATGGCCGACCCGCTGAAAAATAACCATTTGCCCTTGCTCAGCTCTGCCAACAGAACCTGAGTGGAAATGAAATTGGACCGGAGCCAGAATGGAACTGGAAAGTAGTAAGGAAGGAACTCGAATGGAGCTGGAAAGGAACTGTAATGTAACCTGGGTGGAGCTGGAATGGAACAGAGCCAGAACGAAACCCGAAGTGAGCTGAAATGGGGAAGGGTTGGTGGCTGCAACATGACTTGGACTTCAAACCGGACGCCACCAACACGAAGCATTTCGTGATGCAAACCGTGTCTGGTATGCACATTTGTCCTGATTCCACCCGCTTTGTGATGTGGTCATTCAATGTCATTCACATGTTGGCTTTGGCAGGTTTGATGAAGGATGGCTTCACAGTTCTTCGCAAAGTCTTTGATGCGAAGGAATGCAGCTTGGACCCGTTTAGACTTTAGACGGACAGCAAATTGGGAACCCCTCAAAAAAGTGAAACAAAAGGAAGGAGTTCCATGCTGGCCAGTGGCACACATGACCGTAGAGCTAACACCGATGAATATTTGTTCCCAAATAGGCCAAACGAAAGATTTTGGGGTCATGTCAGCTGGGTCCCAGTTCGAAAGATTCTTGGAGACATCAGGTGACGTGGCCGTGGACAGGATCTGGGACTTCGCAATTGGAAGGTGTCCAGCCTTGGACCCCAAAGATGAGCCTTGGCACACAGCAGCTGGGCGATGGGATGGAGGATTGTCCTTGTTGCATGTTTGGGCCTTTCACATAACCACAAAGTAGGCTAGACCCTATCTATAGGCATTAGACTGAAGTATACCCCCTCACATTCTGCCATACTGGACTTGAGATGAATGTAGAGTCATTTCTTCTTTGATCTAAGGAGTCTACCTGGAACCCTGACAACTGGTCCGCTGTGGTACGCGGCAAAAACCTTTGTCATCTCTACGGTGCTGGCTGGGTACTTTGGCAGGACGGATTCTTTGATCTTTCAGAGACAGTTGAAGTGGAAGAATCGAAGCATATCGCAGCAATGTGGCAGGAGCGGCTCCAATTCAGGAAGCGTTTGGTGGAGATGGACGTCTACGCGGATGTGCCGCATCATGTGAGTTTCTGGGTAAACTATGATAGTTTGATGATATTTTCGTAGGTAGGGTTGTCCAGCTTGACCAAAGGCAGTGGGGCCGATCATGCAGGTTTTGACCTCGCAGAGGTGGGACATTGGACACATCAGGACACCTTTGGTGTTTCTTCCTTTCTCTTTGAAGTGTGTAGATGGATTCAGGTTGGGATGGCTTTCACCTTGGCCGACCTACACCAAAGCCCTGGAGCAGAACGCCCTGGGATCACACGGACCAGGTGGGGGTCAGGAATTCTTTGGTTGGAAGTTGGAAGTCCGAAGTTCTTTTGCTGTACATCCAACATTGACACCAACTGATTGTGTTCCAATACCTGTTCCCATTTTGCCCAGGTTCTTCTCAACGGCGAAAGCACGGGTTGCACCTGGGTCCAAGGCATGATTCATGGGCAGTTCAATGGGTGGGGAGACCCTTCCAGTAACTTTGAGCCAAAGTTTGAACCAGAATCTTTTTACACATCATTCATTACTATTCACTAACAAATCTTCACCAGTTCCTTTATGATCCCATTGGATCTCTGAACTTTGTGCTGTCATGGCTTTGCATGTCAGGTCTGGTTGCGCTGAACGACATGGACCTCTCTGACGGTCCAGCCTTCGAGTGTTGGCCTGGTTCTCATCAGGATGAGATCTTTGTGGAGCTTCAAAAGACGGAAGGCGAGGTTCAGAGGGTGATTTTTTTTCAGGATGCGCATCCGAATGGTTTCCCACTTATGGAGTCCTTACGGAGTCCTTACGGAGTCCCCTTTTTGCATCTTTGTGCGTTGCTGCTTCAGATTCATGGCCCTGCGTAGTGCTGTGGTCCAATGGCATCCGCTAGGTCTTTGCGACTCGCCCAACGGCTCCTTTCGTGTGCTGCAAGATGCTGGGCGAGGTTGGCTGCAAGGGAAAGGCATGAAGCGGCAGCGTGTGCCAATCAGTGCCTGGCCAGCACCCTTGGATCTTGAATCTCATGTCTCATGTTCAATATGAATCTCGTCATCTGGTTGCACCCTTCACCCCATGAACAATGTAAATTGTGCAGGTTGAGTGCAAGAAATCAAACTTTAGCTGGATTCTTTCTGTGGCTGAGGTCAGGGTGATGTGATTTTGTGGGACTCGCGATTGGTGCACCAGGGTGGTGTAGCAGCTTCGGCCAGAGCCTCACAAGCTGTTGCACCATCTGGGCAGCAACATCGAGGATGCTATGGCCGTATGGTGGCGTACATGTGTCGCTCGGCGGTTTCTGGCGTTTTTATATTTGGAAGGGAGTGGACTTGTCATGATTTGTCAATTTTGTCATTAGACAGAGTGGGTTCGAGTTGTGGTGTCTAACTTTGCACGAAGCCTGGCAAGTGCTCCGGGTGAGTGGCTCAGGTCTGGGCTTGGCGGAGTTTACCCCGCCCTCAGTGGTGGAGAAGCGTCGCAAGAGCTACGAGGCCAAGGGGGAAGCCGTGACGTTGAATCACAAACCTGATGCGTTTGAAGCCTTCAAAAAGAGTCGGAAAGCCCAGCCGGGATGGGGCCAGGCTGTGGAAGGCATGTCCCATGATCAATGCAATCACATGGTTAATATGTCATGTGATAGCTCAACAACTATAGTTGTAGCACAAGTAGTTGGAAGCGGCTGAAGTTCGAGCTATGAATCTGTGGCTTTTCAAAGAACTTCACCAGATTCCAAAATATTCTGCCCAGGCCGTTATCATGCCAATTCACCTCCCATGGCCTTCCCTGAAGCTTTACCTCCTGAAGCTCTGCAACTGCATGGCCTCGCCCCGTGAAAAAGAGCGGTGCGGCTGCTTTGAGCCATTCTGAGACTCAAATTTTGAAAGTTTTTTTTGACATGATACAGAGACTGCATTTCTAGCATGTTTGAGGGGGTTTTCCTTGCGTTTGGAAGCACAGAGACACAAAGCCTGCTGCAAAGACCAGATGTGGCTTGCGCGTTGAGGCGACGGCGTTTGGGGCGGCTTCTGCAGCCTTCAGAGGTGCTGAAACTGCCGTCAGCATTAGTTTTGTTTCAAAATTCATCCAAAGCACATCAAGTTCATCAAATTCATTATTTTGTTGATCTTTGCATATCTTTGCTTTTGGCATCTTTTCGCTTTACGGTCTACAATGCGCTTATCTGTCCGTCGGGTCGATCTAGTCTGGGAAGCTTCTTTGAGCGCAGTTGAAGCTGGAGACTGCCAGGAAGTGACCTTGGCAGGAGAGGCTGAACTAGCATGGCTGCCCAGCATATGACTCATATGACCCTTGTTGCGCTGCTTAGGGTTGGAAACATCGAGAGCAATACTGGCAATACCCGAAGACGGAGTCAAAGTGAGTTGCAAGGCTGAAATAGATTTGTCTTTGACATCTTTGACCTTCAGATGACTTTGATTTGGGGATTTGGGGATTTGGGGATTTGGTAGTACCGGGATGTACCGGGTAGGAGCATGTGTAGGTGTTTTGCCATCTGTGCCATTTGAGGCGCAGATTCTTTCGATTGCGCAGCATCTTATGTTTGCCTGTTCGTTGTCGCTGGATTCTGGGCTCAAGATAATTTCTATGATTAGGCCTTCCGATGGCAGCTGCCAGTGATCCTGAAGATGCTTGGCTGGTTTGATGCACGGGGAGGTCCTTTTTTTTCCCCCTTGAGGGGCCGTTCTGTTGCTTTTTCACAGCAGAGCCTGCGTGACCAAGGAATAGAAACATCCATGCGTTCCAGACAAAGAGAGCAACAGCCTCCCAATTGCATTTGAAGATGCAGTGTTTCCACCATGTGCAGAGTGCATTTCATTGGTGGACCTTCTTAAGTTTCTTAAGCGGTATTTGGATCACACTACTCTGACATATCTCCAAGCAGGTTGATTGCCCCAGAATGATTCAAGATTGACATGGATTGTTTCAACTAGAATGGGCCGTCCTGCAAACAGATTCCACAACGCAGAGATCTCCCGCTTTCACCTGTCGCAGGTATCTGGATAGAGATGCTCCTCGTTTTGGAGAACTGAGCAAGTTGCTGCCAGTGTTTCTAGTGGTGGTGACCATCGTCTTCTTGTACGTGCAGTACCTGTGCCAATATTCAGCAAATCAAAATTGATGCGTGAAATTGGGTCTGTATTACCTTTTGAGAGTGCGTGGGATATTTTGAAAGCCCACGAAGCAGATCCGTTGGCCCTTCAAAAGGAAAATCATGGGGACGTAAGACAGGCATGATGAAGGCATACATAGGTCCTGAGACTTGCCACACTCTTGACACCAACTGCGACACTCGCAAATCAGCAGACTTTATAGGGATCTGTTGCTGTAGCTTTTCAACAATGACAGCACACTGCCAGGTATTTATTTCTGCATTGCTTACGATTGCTTCAATGGGATCTACCAGACATACTACGCAATGCTGTGCAGATTTCGCGGGGATCCTGGCAGCTGGGGGTCTTCCACGTTGTGACTTTGATGCTTCTCTACTGCCTGCTGAGGCATGGCTTATGATTTCTACTGTCCTGCTCTGACTATGAAACCAGCCTTTCCTTCAAACTGTTTTTTGTACCTCTCCTATTCAAAGCCAAATCATTTTTTCGGATTCGACATGGAAATGTACTGCACCCATACTGTGCCCTTGGTGGAGGTGTTTGCTGACCTTCCCTGGCACCATTCCAGATGGTCAGGGCTGGGAACTTCAAACGGAGTCAACGAGCCTTGTCAAGGGAAAAGGGTCCAGGTGAAGTCAAGCATGGCCGAAGATGGTAAGGTAACTTAGCAAAGCTAAAACTGTTTGACACGATGGAGAGCCAGATGCTCATGTATCATCACGTATCTCTGTCCGTCCCACCAAAGGATCCCAACATGAGCCATGTGCAAAAACTCAGCTTCAAGTGACTGCATTTCGACAACAGCTATCAACAACTGCCCCAAGGACATCTCCAGTGGATGGGGAAATGAAGCCGGAAACTCAGCCACAACAAGGTTATTAGGAAATGACTCCGAGCATGTGATTTCATGATATTTCATGAACAACTAGCTGTGTCCAGGGCGGACTTTCCGGGGTGCAGGTCGGTGCAGATCACTGAAAAGGAAACGACCGGCGAAAGAAGACACTGCAAATGGTGTTTGAAATACAAGCCCGACAGGCCTGGTAAGACTGGTAAGAGTACAATGTCATGACTGTCACGTGTCGCAATTCTGCAAGTCCACTTGGAGGATGTTTCCTGACAACTTTGCTGTACTTTGCTTCTTGCAGGTGTCATCATTGCAGGGTTTGCAATATTTGTGTGCTCCGGATGGATCACCACTGCCCGTGGGTTTACAACTGCATTGGGTTTCGGAACCACAAGTACTTCATCCTGCTGCTGATCTACTCTGCGATAGACTTGATCTTCATCACGGTCACAATGTTCGAGTCTGTCTGGTGGTCCACACGCATTGACATGCACTCAGTTTTCTTGATCAGCTTTCTCACCATGCCTTTTATTTTTCAGTCAAGTCACAGTTCCTTTGTTTTGAAAAGGTCAAAAGTAACCAGCTTCCAAACAAAGTCTTGATAGGGTCTTTCGACTCTTCAACAACTAGCTCTATCTACAAAACTGAGCAATGGCATGCAATGGCTCAAGTGGTCACAGCCCGCTTCTGTTATCTATGTTCGGGACGATTAAACACCAACCCAGAAGACCATATCAGGGCTGCGATAAGCTTCCAACTCTTTGTCAGAATTGCTGCGCACATGTGATCCTTCTCATGTGGCTCTCAAGGATGTGAGCCCTGCACTCATGCTGTCCTTGCTCTTCGCAGAGTGCTTTGCCTGCTTCCTGTGCACGGTGCGGAGGGATGCATCAGTGACATGAGTTGAAGTGTCATAACGGTTCAGTATGGATCGGATGGATCAGGCTTCAGTCTTACAAAAGGTCATTGAATTGCACATGCAATGGGCGACTTGCATGTCTTGGTTTGTGCGCTTTAAATTGAAACAAATTCGATCCCGAACCAGAGGGCTTGACATTAAAGACGAGAGATTGATTTCCGCATACTTTGCCTGAAGATTCTATCTCTAGACATCGTGCTGGACTCTATACTTAAGTCTCCCAGTGGGGCAACAGTTACAGCAAGCGCAGGTGAACTGTCTCTTCTTGGGCTTCCATGGATGGCTTACGGTGCCATGGCCAGGATATATGAATCAGAGGTTGCGGCAGCTGGCGGCAACCACATCATAAAACACCTGTTTGAGAGGGTCTGACGTATTGGTTTGAGACTTCAACCACGAAGACTTCAGGTGAACGCAATGACCACCCTAGAGTTTTGCGAGAAGTCTATGAAGCTTCTTGCCTGCAGTGAATGTGCGGGTTGTTGCAGTTTGATTCGCTTTGCCCCATTGAATGAGACTTTAGTGGGACATCGGACTCTCGATGCAGCTGTACACCCTTGGAGGATGGCTGGCTATGATTCCTCTATTTACTCGAAGGTCGACGTGTTTTCGCTCGTGTTGCTTTTGAAATGCAGCCCTTTGTCAGGGAGGGAGTTTGATCTTCATTGCTTGTTTGACCCATGCAGCCTACACATATTCCAGGAGTTTTATTGGTATTTCCATTTCAAACGTGTGCTTGACAGGGTGTGTATGAGAACATCTGCGCTGTGCTGGGTCCAAAGCCACTCTTTTGGTTCTTGCCCTGCACCTTGACTTGATTTATCCTGCGACATTTGTGAATCAAGAGCGGGCCATGCATAGACAACCACAGTTGACCACGAAGTTTAATGCTATGTCTGCTATGTGGAGGCCACTGGGAAATTAAATAGGACTGAAAGCAAGGAACCACAGCAACCCCTTTATCCTTAACAGCCTCAACATGAATTGCTGACATTGGTTGGGCTAAGGCAGCCTTCCGAAGGGTGACGGTTTGACTTGGCGAGATGGTGAGGATTGAAGTTGGAAAAAGAAGCCCAGTCTGCCCAGTCAGGGTTCCACCATGTTCCACCATGTTCCACCAAACCAAGCCCAGCGGTCTCAAATCGAATTTCGAGCTGACCTTGAAATATGCTAAGAGAAGCAGATTTCAAGATAATGACTGATATATTACTGATAATTTGGCATGAGAAGAAACTCTATTCAGTCCCCATGTTGAGGTCTTGGACATAGATGGAAGCAGTCGCCGTGTTCCGGTCTGGCCCTCAACTTTGCAGCGCAGGCTGAGTGGTGTTGCAAGGAGGCTTCCATGAGAGTCGTTACGTTTTGGCAGAACCGGGATGCCCTGCTACCTTATGGTCCCTTGTCTAGTCTAGACTGCATCCGTGCATCAGGTTTGGCTGGCGCTTGGCAGGCTTCTGTCAGAGAGTGGGATGAAAATGAACGCAAAGGATTTGTCTCTAAATGCTGTCCATGTCACTTTCGTCAACAAGATGTTCAATCAAAATACTCACTTCAAGGGTTTGAAACTGCCAGGCCTAACCGTCTAACCATCTTCTCAAGCCCATTTATGGACACTGACGCGAACATTTGCAGAGCTGTCTTTCCACATAAATACATGCACAGTTCTCTGTGGTGAGCTGTTTGTGTGACAGATCTATTGTGTTGGTGGAATGAAAACCGGAGATTGAGTCTTCTGTTTATACACACCTCGTAGGTTCGCAAGATCTTGATTGTGATGTTTTGAATCGTCGAACTTCTGCCACATTTTGGCTAGGATACGCGAAAAGCCAGAACAGCAGGTTGTTTTCATTTTTACACGACCACGTTTGGGCGCCTGAGACATCGGGAAGGGACCGACCCGGGTGCATCAAGGCAGGAATGTGGAGGGACACCGCCACGAGATCTATGTTGCGATGCCACATTGCATCCATGCACAATACAGTGTATTCAAATGTATTCAATACATATGTTTGGCTTCAACTTGTTGTGGCCTTTGTTTGTTGGGAGTAGTGAGCTTGCGAACGTACCGCCTGTAACAAAAAAAAAGAAAAATCTGATGAACTGAAAACCAACTGACGGTGTTGGTGAGCCTGGCGGTGTTTTCAGCTCAGCTTTCAGAGTCAAGCAAATATAGCTGATCCTCCTGTGAAGAGTTGAAGATGTTAAACATGTTCAAATTGTTCAAGCTATTTTAAGATGTGTGGAAGTGCGGTGAAATCTGCTGAAACTTCCGTAGTTGGACGCCTTTTCCATTCCGCACTTGTGCGGCGGCAGATGCTCCTGGCTGAATGCTGGAAACCAACTGAAGTTTCCAAACAACTTCTGTTTATTATCATGTTGTGACATTTACATCTGTCACTGTTGTTTGAAGGATGATCTTTACTTCTCACTTTTTATTTAGATCAGATTGATGTCAGTCTTCTCACCTTTTGCTCTGTTGCGAACATTTTGATTTTATGTTCCGCGCAATTTTGGCTAGGGTGTGGAGGGTGGGTTGCACTTGACCCGTTCGATTTTTCTATCCGATTTTTCCATATCGCCATGGATGCCTGACAGAATTTTGGAAGATCTTGATTTTACGGGACGTGCATTCTCTGACAGAACTTTCAGTTTTCATTTGAACACTGCCTGGATTTGCAAGTGTTTTGTTTTCATGGTACTTGTGCGTGATTCACACAGTTTGGGCGATTTACCAGATGCAGCTGGTGCTGCGCAGTGGCCTGTTTCGCAAGGGGACAATGGAGGCCAGAGCGACATGGACTGGGAACACGTACAACTTCCAGATGCTTTGAATGATCATGATTTTGGACAAGATTCACATTTCAGTCCTTTGTTTGGATACGAGGAAAAGGAATTTGCAGAGCAGCAAATTGAGGAAGAATATTCACTCGCTGCAAGTTTGGTCAGACCAGATGACGTTGAAAACCAGACTGGACGCTTCATGGTGCCCACAGCCAAGGCACGGGCTGATAGGAACTTGGCTGAAACAGTTGACATGGATGTCAGTCGAACCATTGACAACCTTGTGATTCAACATGTGGCTGGGTCTTCTTCACTGCCAAGTTCTTTTTTGAATAGAATGGATTTTGACAATGTATTTTCACTGGACAGCATTTGGAGGCAACCACAGCTGCCTATGTATGGGCGGTTTGAATCTGTTCAGGGCGTTGTGCATAGTGCAGTGAGCTCGCATGAGGAACCGGTGCAAGGAGTCTCAGATTTCAAACGCAAAAGACTGTTGGCAGCGGCATTTGCCAAAACAGATGATCAGCTGGTTGATTGTGCAATGCGGCAACTCAAAGAGATAGTTCTTTTTCAACCTTTGGATTCAAGACTGGGCAGAGCACTTCTGGATTTTTCAGGAAAGCTGGTACCAGAGTCGAAAATTTCAACTTCCTTTATTGATGCTGTTGCTGGCAAGGCGCCTGGCACAGTATCTAAAAGGGTTGCAGACTATCACCGTTTTGCACGATGGGCAGTTGATGGGGGACGTTGCTATCCCATGAACATTTCAGAGACTGTGGTGTACGACTATGCCAAGCACTTGCAACTGTCCGGAGCCTCTGCAACATCTCTGCAGTCATTTATCAAAGCAATTGGATTTTTCGAACATCACATTGGCTTTGCGAGGGTGGATGTTGCTCAATTTTTTTCTGGCAGAGTGAACGGAGTTAGCAGGACTATGCTTTCAGGCAAAAGGGAGTTGAAGCAAGCTCCACCACTTACTGCTGATGCGTTGTACGCTTTGGAGAAACATGTCTGTGAGTGCAACGATGTGGAGGCATGCATTGGAGGATTCATGATTTTTTGTTTGCTGGCATCTGCAAGATTTGCTGACGCAGCTCGTGCGGAGACCGTGCATTTGGACATGAGTGGTCACATATCACTGCTGGAGACGTCAAGCATGAAATTCAAGACAGCGCATACGGCTGGCAAGGAAGCTAGGAATGTTGCCCTTCCTATGCTGGCCCTGGGCAATGGGCTTTACGAAAAGGACTCTTGGGCATGGACATGGATTCGTGCCTGGAAGCGACAAAAGATGGATCATTTCAAATTTTTGGTGCCGGCCTGGAATGAAGAAACATCACAATGGTTGAATCGTCCAATGACATCTGGTGAAGGTGTATACTTTCTACGTGAGCTGCTGTGCAACTCTGGTATGAGTGAGGCTCAGGCGGCTTCATACAGCACACACACCTTGAAGGCTACTGCACTGTCTTGGGCGGCAACATCTGGAGCCATGTCAATTGATGAGAGGCGTATCATGGGGCACCATTTTGACTCCAGGTTAGCAATGCCATTGATATACTCGAGAGATGCGCTTGCCGAGATTCAAACCAAGTTGTGGCGCATTCTGGACTCCATTCGAAAGGGTTACTTTGACCCTGATGCAACTCGGGCTGCTCGGATTGCTGCACAGACTTTGCAAGATGCAGAACATGTCGATATTGAGAACTATTCTGACGAGTCAGTTGACCCCATTGAGCTGGGTGCAAGCGAAACTCTGCCAGTGCCTCAAGCAAAGAAACCTGTGCACAATGGACCGTTGACTGAAGAAATTTTCAAGTCATGTTTGCAGCATGTTTTGTCAGGAGTTTTTGCATGTAGCAGTGGACTGTGAAAATTTGGCATGTTCACGAAAAGTTTCTGCGAACTACAAGAAGCCTTCTTTTGATTTTGAAATGGCATGTGAATTTCCATTTTGTGCTCAGTGTGCACAGCATTCTTGATAGTGAGTGCTTAGTGCAACAGAAGCGTGAGTTGGGGCGGGCGAGAGACAAACAAGGCGGGAATCTGTTCAGCAAACATGTCGAATCTTGCTTACTGGCAATGCATTGGCTGGTATGATTTTTGAATCTCGCTGTTGCATTACCCAGCTTGACTTGACTTCAATTTGTTGCAGCATGAATTTAGCTGACAACACAGGGAATGAGTGAATTGAATTCCTTTGTGGTGACTTGCACAACATGAAATTGAATTTCATCGACCTGATGCGTGAATTGCTCAGAGTCAGCGCATGACTTGCGCACCAATGATCCGATGCACAACTGTCGGAGCCTTTGAAAAACAGTGAACAGCTTCATGAATGTATGTTTTCTTGCAGTGTGAATTTCATTGCATCAATGACGCATGTTTGAAGGTTCACGACTGTGGTTCAACTTATGAAGAAACATTGCGTTTCAATTTCGATCTTGTTGAACACTGTTTTTCATGCGTTGATTTTCAAATCAATAACTCACTTTAGTGGACGTTTCGCTCTTGACTTGACAATCTTTTGCAAGATAACAATAAAACTGTATCACTCAGCGACGGCTGGTCGAAAGTGCAGCCATGTCCGGACTTGATTCGAAACATGCTTTCAGCTCACGTGCGCTGGAAGTAGGGATGCAAGAGGACCTGCCAGAGAAGCTCAAGGGAGCTGGGTTGGACACGTTTGGGAGCCTTGCTTTTTCAAGTGATGCAACGCCAACTTCAAACACTGAAGAGAAGTTCAAGAAAGCAGTCCAAGATTTGATTTTGGTCGAGGTTGCCCCAGCTGAAATGATTCCACTTCGTAGGCTGTGGTTTGAAGCGCATGCCATGGTGCTCTCTGACATACGTAGCAGAACAGAAAGAACTGAGGCTGACCAGCCTAGGAAAATGCCACTTGCAGAGAGACTTGCTAGGATTGACAAACAGAAAAAGGAATTGAAAGGCCTGATCATCGACGCGTCAGTCGAACCAAGTCATGGATTGGTTGACAAGTTTCAAAACATGATCGAGGATGGTTCTTGCTTTATGTAGGACCTGAGAAGTGCATGTCACGAGAAGAAGAAATTACCAAGGAAAAGAAAGAGTCAGCGCTGAGCATTGACCATGCTGGAGGTCTCAAAGTCACCAAGAAGGCTCAGGACTTGCAATGTGATGTTTCGGGCGAGCTTAGACTACGTGCGGCATTTACACGCCGATCTTTGGCCATGCATCAGACCAATTTGGTGACCTTTGATTTGATTGAAGAGTGGAATCAACAGATGTTTG